AAAATTCAACATCTATTTGTAATAAACACCCGTAGCACTTTAGGAATAAAAGGAAACTTCATCAACCTAATACAGGATATCTACAAAATCTATCTACTGCGTAGATACAGGATATCTACAAAATCTCTACACTAAAATAAACTAAATATAACATCATATTTAATATTAAGACACTGAATGCTTTCCCCCAAGACTGTTAACAAGATAAGAATTTCTGCTCTCACCACTGCTATTCAACCACACCAAAGGGTCCTACACAGTGCAATCAGGCAAGAAAAAGAAATCAAAGGCACACAGATCCAAGAGAAAAACAGTATGACAATCTATATTCATAGGCAACATTACAATGAAAAACAAAAAGAATCTACAGAAAAAGCTACAATAATATATAAGTGGGTTTAGTAAGGCCACAAAAAGTATCAATAACATGTTTATATTCTAGCAATGAGCAGTTGGAAATTAAGACAAACCAAAAAACAGTCTAACTGTACTAGCATAAAAATACTTAGGGATATGCAATACTTATTAAATTTAACAAAATATGTGAAAGATTTGTAGTAAGGAAACAATAAAACATGATCTAAGATAATAGAGAAATATACCTTGTGTATGAGTTGAAAACTTAATATTATTAAGATGTCAATTCTCTCCCAAATTGATCTACAAATTCAATTTGCATTTCTACCAAAATTGCAGCAGGCTTGTTTTGTAGCTACTCAAAGCTGATTTAAAATTTATGTGGAGGGCTTCCCTGGTGGCACAGTGGTTAAGAATCCGCCTGCCAATGCAGGGGACACGTGTTCAAGCCCTGGTCCGGGAAGATCCCACATGCCGTGGAACAACTAAGCCCATGCACCACAACTACTGAGCCTGAGCTCTAGAGTCTGCACACCACAACTACTGAAGCCTGCGCGCCACAACTACTGAGCCTGTGCACCACAACTACTGAAGCCCATGAGCCTAGAGCCCATGCTCTGCAACAAGAGAAGCCACTGCAATGAGAAGCCCACACACCACAACGAAGAGTAGCCCCCGATCGCCACAACTAAGGAAAGCCCGTGCACAGCAACGAAGACCCAATACAGCCAAAAATAAATAAATAATTAAATTTATGTGGAAAAGCAAAGGGCTTAAGACAGCCAAATTTAAACTAAAATTGGAAGATTCATATTACTTGATTTCAAGACTTATTATAAAGCAAAAGTAGTGAAACTGTGTGGTTTTGATGAAAGTCTACACACTTAGAACAATGAAACAAAATTAAGTACAGAAATAGACCCATACATATATGGACAAATGATTTTTTTTTTTTGCGGTATGTGGGCCTCTCACTGTTGTGGCCTCTCCTGTTGCGGAGCACAGGCTCCGGACGTGCAGGCTCAGTGGCCATGGCTCACGGGCCTAGCCGCTCTGCGGCATGTGGGATCTTCCTGGACCAGGGCACAAACCCATGTGCCCTGCATTGGCAGGCAGACTCTCAACCACTGCGCCACCAGGGAAGCCTGACAAATGATTTTTTGACAAAGGTGCCTAGGTGAAGAAAGGATGGTATACTCAACAAGTATGTATAACTCATACCTTATGAAAAATTAACTCAAATAATCATAGGCTAAAATGTAAATCTTAAACCATAAAGCTTCTTCTACAAGAAAACTTAGACGATCCATCAAGTGATTAATGGATAAACTATATATGATATATTCATACAATGGAATATTATTCAGCTGTAAAAAGGAAAGAACTACTGATACATACTATAGTACATATAAATCTTGAAAACATTATACTAAGTAAAAAAACCCATACCAAAAAACCCACATATTGCATGATTCCATTTATATAAAATGTCTAAAACTGGCAAAACTACACAGAAAGAAAGTGGATTCATGGTTGCTGAAGGCTGGGATGTGAGGAAAATGGAGAGCGACTGCTAACGGGTACAGAGTTTCTTTTCATTATGATGAAAATATTCTAAAATTGATTGTGGTGATGGCTATGCAACTCTGTGCATGGACTAAAACCACTGACTTGCACACATTAAATGAGTGAATTTTACGGTACATAAATTATACCTCATTTTTTTTTTAAATTTAAAAAAAAAGAGAACACAGAGGAAAAAAAAGCAGAAAAACTTTGAGACTTGGGGTAGGACAAAAAGCAAGAACCATAAAAAACTTGAGAAATTCTTCAAAACTAAAGATCTTTTCTTCAAAAGACAAATGAAAAGACAAGTTACAGAGTAGGTAAAAACATGTGCAAAACACATTTCTAATTAAAAAAACTTATATCCAGAATATATAAAGAACTCTCATTTGAAAACAAAAAACCTGGATTAAAAATGGGCAAAAGAACAGAACACTCTATGGAAGAAAAAATATGAATGGTTAATAAATACATGAAAAGATGTTCAACATCAGCAGTCATTAAAAAAAACACGAATTAAAAACCACAAAAGGGAAACCACTAACCACTATGAGAACTGCTAAATTTAAAAAGCTGACCATATTGAGCACTGGCAAGGAAGGCAGAGCAACCAGAACTCCCTTACATTGCCGGTGGGCACTCAAAATGGGACAGTCACTAGAAAAACAGTCGGGTAGTTTCTTATATTCACTCACCAAAAGACCTAGCAATCCCATTCTTAGGTAGTTATTTACTCAAAAGAAATGAAAACAGATGTCCACACATACACCTGTATGATAATGTTTATAGCCGCTATAGTCATAAGCTGGAAAAAGTAGAAACAACCCAAAGGTCCATCAATGGGTAAATTAATACACAGATTGAAATAATGTCGACAGGCTTTTTAAAAACAAAAAGACTCAGAACAGAGCAGTGATGGGAACCAAAGCAAAGTCTGAAGAAACTTCAGCTGGAAAAATACCAAAGGGACTGCAACAAAAGAAACACTAGAAGAAAGGAGGAGAGCTAGGAAATACTAGAGTCATCCTGGAAAAAACCAAAGGTATTTTAAAATTGTTCTCTGATTGCCCTGGGATGGTACAAGGTAGTTCAAGAACTAGGTAATCATACTTCCTGGGTTCAATGTCCAGGCTCCTCTACTTACCTGTGTCATGCACATTAACAGTACCAACCTCACAGTGTGAATATAGAGATTAAATGAATTAATATATGCATGGCAAATTTTGAAGCATCTGAGCTGGTTATTAGCTATTATTATTGCAATTGTTATACTTATTATCTAGCTCTTAAAATTCTTATTATTTGTTGTCAGATAGAGTCTGAGAAACTGCATGGCTCATTCTCTATCTCTTTTTTTAAAAAATGGATTATAGTAAGCAGAAAATGAATCCAAACAAGATCCTACCATAGATTTGGCAGAATTCTAATGTGTCTTCCAATTGACTCCTAAAATTATGATCTTTTCTCATCTCTTGAAATTTTCTAGGCATTCTAAAATACAAGCAACAAGTATCATAACCCAAATATTTTCTCTGTTCACATCTAAGGTACACCTCATAAGTTCTGATTCCATTTTCTAAATTTATTAGGTGTCTTCTGCTACCTCCACATTAACACTTTTTTTGTTTCTTTTCTGATGGTACTTTTAAAATTAGTCTTCCATTAATACTTAACAATTTGGTCATCCACATTAAGTCCACAGCTTTAAAACCCAAAAAGGTACCAAATCTCTCTCTTCGCCATACCAATAAATAATATGCTAGGGAGAACAAATATAGAAATTACCTATGCTTTTTCCTTTTATGAAATTAAACCTCTCTTCTTCCCAGAGAAACACTGCTCTCCCCAGATCTTTCTTCCCTCCTTAGTTAAATAAAGACACTGTGTTAGACAAAAAAGGTTCTGAACCAGATATTTACATAATTTCAATTCTAACTAAATATATAAAACTAATATGGGTGGCTAGCATAGAGGTGGGTCTATAAAATCTGGCTATGCTGGGACTTCCCTGGCAGTCCAGTGGTTAAGACTCTGCGCTTCCACTGTAGCGGACACAGGTTCAATCCCTGGTCAGGGAACTAAGATTCCTCACGCCATGCACGTGCATGGCCAAAAAACAAATAAACAAAAAACCTGGCTATGCTAATTGGTGGCAATTGGTATGACACAGAATATAATCAAATCAAATTAGTGATGACAAGATTTATAAATTATGTCTCAAAATAAGATTTAATACAAACATACTGTAGAAGCACTATTTTTACCTCATATCCTTTAAAATTTTTACAATTTATATATTTTCATTTATAATTTGTATATAACTTATGTTTAAATTATGTAAAATAAACCTCTTTTCTGTGATATTTTGTTTTGTTATTCATTCATACATTTTAATTTATATATACCTGAATGAGTAACTGTCATAAAATTTTAAAAAACAACAAAAAAACAAATTTCCCAAGTGCTTTACAACTTCCCTCTTCCCTCTAGTATTGCTACCATCTGCAACGATCAGATTTCAAGCAAAAAATAACGTAACTTTATTTTAAAAGGGTGGTCTAAAAGAAAAATTAAATAAACACTAAAACCAAAGGTTGATTTTTTTTCTTTCCC